TTCCGCTGGCCATGTAGCATTTCTATTCATTTGTCTCCCAGGTCTGTAACTGCTGGTGTCCGCCTGGCCATGTAGCATTTCTATTCATGTGTCTCCCAGGTCTATCACTGCTGGTGTTCTCCCTTTTCCACTGGCCGTGTAGCATTTCTATTCACTTGTCTCCCAGGTTTGTCGCTGGTGGTGTCCGCCCTTTTCCGTTGGGTCTGTCACTCCTAATGTCCGCGGTTTTCCGCTGGCGATGCAACGTTTCTATTCATTCCCCAAGCAGTTTACTGTCAGGAGTTATCATTTCTTTCTTAAGATGTGTCCGCCCTTTGCGTCACTGCTGGTGTCCCCCCTTGTCCGCTGGGCCCCAGGTTCGACGCCTGGCCATGCAGCATTTTATTCATTTGTCTCCCACATAATTTGCGCACTTCGCCAAACAGGTTACTGTTATATAGGGGTGCCCGCCTTGCTGCGGGACAGCGTGTCCGCCTTCCGTCCGGCTTGTCTCCCTTTGTCTCCCTTCTTGTTGGTCACTGTGTCCGCCTTGTCTCCCTTCTGTTTCCCTTTGTCTCCGGTCTTGTCTCCCTTCTTGTTGGTCACTGTCCGCCTTCTCTCCCTTCTGTTTCCTTTTGTCTCCCTTCTTGTCTCCCTTCTTGTCGGTCATTGTGTCCGCCTTGTCTTCCTTCTTGTCTCCCTTTGTCTCCAGTCTTGTGACCCTTCGTGGGTCACTGTGTCCGCCTTGTCTCCCTTTTGTTTCCTTTTGTCGCCCTTCTCGTCTCCCTTCTTGTTGGTCATTGTGTCCGTCTTGTCTCCCTTCTGTCTCCCTTTGTCTCCGTTCTTGTCTCCATTCTTGTTGGTCACTGTGTCCGTCCTGTCTCCTTTTTGTCTCCCTTCTCGTGTGTCATCGTGTCCGCCTCGTCCCTTCTGTCTCCCTTTGTGTCCCTTCTTGTGGGTCACTGTGTCGGCCTTGTCTCCCTTCTGTTTCCTTTTGTTTCCCTTCTTGTTTTCGTTCTTGTCTCCCTTCTTGTTGGTCACTGTGTCCGCTTTGTCTCCCTTCTGTCTCCTTTTGTATCTCTTCTTGTCTCCCTTCTTGTTGGCCATTGTGTCCTGTTTCCTTCTGTTTCCTTTTGTCTCCCTTCTTGTCTCCCTTCTTGTTGACGTCTCAAAAAGTGGACTTGGGAATGCTTCGTTGTTGTCCCACCTGTTTGGGGTCTACGGTGGTGCAATTTTCCTTTTTCCAGGAACGGGTGTCTTTGGGGATGCCGGATGTCCCTATTTCTAGACACACCCAGCACACTCACATGGTAATGCGTGGGCATGAGTGTTGTGGATGTACCCATCCCTTTCCAAGCTGTGCCATGCTGCGCCATGGTGCGCTATGCTGCACCAGTCGCGTCAACAGCTCAGGTATTGCATCAGCTGGCCGCTTGCAGCTCGGAAGAGGCGGGGTCATCCGGTACCGGTTTTGACTCGGTCTAGGCGGTCGCAGAACAAGGGAACCTGGTGGGAACTCCCCTTTGAACAACTTTCAAGCCTTTTTCCACCATTGAGGTTCGTTTTGAAGAGGTATCTCAGAGGATCTTGAAGACTTTTTGGATGTGAAGGCTGCGGCTAATGTCTCACTGTGCCACATGACAGTGGCAATCCTTGACTCCTGGACCAAGACACTGCCACATGGTGGCTTTTCCGTGCAAGGTTGGCACCTCAGACACTCATGTCATGATGGCAGCTCGGACAGTTCCCACAAACCATGTTGGTTTTTGAAGTAGCTGGAGCAGTCCAAAACAAGAAGAAAAACACCAGATTCCTCAACTTTAGACTCTTCATCCGTGCCTACTTAAGAATAAACTAAACCCCACCCAGTGGGGATGTCCCTATTCCAACACACACCCGCTTGACCCGAATTGACCACACCCGATTTGCTCGTCCTGCAGGGGCCGTGGGACCCGCGCGGCTTTCAGCCGCGCACGGGAGGACAGTGTGGTCCGACGTTCCAAGAAAAAGGAGGGCGGCAGACGCGGAGCAGTTCTTTTTCGGCTCCAGTGTTGGTCTCATTTTGCTGCAGATTTTTTTCTTCTGGTATATTGTTGATGGGTGAAGGTTCGTATACGTTCGGAGGTCTGCGGCACAATAGGTTCTTTGGCTCAATCACCCAGCAGAAATCCGCTCTTTTTGTGCAGGCCACGGGAGAAGGGAGAAGGGAAGGCACACTCCCACTTACCATCAGATCCTTGTAGATGAACATCTGGCAGACCCGTTGCCCGAAACTCGTGGTCAAAACATGTGCAGCAAGATTGAATCCTCAAACCGTCAAACCAGCAGGCACAGCAATCCATCCACCGGGTTGGCTGTGCCAACATGCTGTCTGAGATAGTAGTTCTGCCATCTCGCATGGGGGGATAAAAGGACAGAAAGTGAGGATCCGAACAGGACTCAGCAGCGATGGGTGCAAGCTGACCTCCAGTTTGAGTCTTGGAAGAAACTGAAACCCTTCCTCACCCTCAGCCAACCCAAGCAGTCCCTGCTTCTGCAGCGTTTTTGCAGGCGCCATGGCTGGTCAGTTCGTGGTGAAGCGTGACGGCCGTAAGCAGGAGACCACGTAGACATGGGTGCAAACGTTTATGGTTTTAGTTTTACAGATCCAAACCTTTTCGGATTGCTGTTGGATTGTTTTTGTTTTTGTTGTTTGATTGGTTTAAACATCAGGATTGCCATTGGAAGCCTTCAAAACCACCATTTTTTGGGACTCCAACAGCACCCAAACTTGGGACCTTGGGATGCCCTTGAAAAAAGGGCATGAAAAAATCACCTTTGAGATGCGTTGAGGGGACACCTGCTTGGTACGTGTTCCAGTTTCTGGGCGTTTCAGGCAGGCCGCAGGCCGTAGCCACTTCTCCCTGGCTGTCGGGTCTTCCCTTCGACTCTCCAGTTTCTCACCACCAACGCCCGAGGTGACCAGACACAGCCACAGCCGTCGCCGCGGCTTTCCTCGCTCATGTCCATGATTTAGAACTGGAGGAATACGTGTATATGTATATCAGTCACCAAAACCTCAAAAAAGGCCTTAGGGATGTTTAGGGCTCTTAACCTGCCAGTATCTTCAGGCCAACATTTTTTACGTTTCGGGCCGTAGCTCAGAAATGGATTGGTTTTGCCCTCACGAACTCCCCGCCGGCTCCCAGTCTGTCGAGCGTCAGTTGAACGTAATGGTGAAGATGTGCGACCGCCCACCTGGTCGACCGTACGTAGGTTGACGTGTCCCTACACATCCTCTTCGCGTCTCACGTGGATGAAAAGGTCGGTCTCCAGAGGCGCCAGTGGCTTCCACCTGTTTTGGTACAGTCGGCGACCAAAAAGAAAACAAAGACCAAGCGCCCAGGAGGTGAAGTTCGACAACATCACCAAGCGCATCCGGACTCTTTGCGGTGGCCTGGACCCACGTTTTATCGACCCGGTGCCCGTGACGCAGAAGGTGGTGGAAGGTGCCGGGTGGTGGAAGGTGCCGGGGGGATGTAGGTCTAGCTGTTGGAGGAAGGTGGCACAGACATGTTCTCCCTGTTTTTGGGGGGGCTGGGCCGATGTTTTTAGGTGATGTTCACAGCCCCAAAGAGGGTTCGATCTAACAGTGATCCGGTGGACGGACCAGCCCTTTGGAGTTTCCTTTTAGGGCGCGGAACGCCGCGTGAAACCCCGTTTCACGGGAGGCTTCTATAATGGCATCAAGACCGCAGAGGTTGACACTTTGGCGGCTGAGACCTGCGCGTATATGTGCCTGGACTCCGGTTAGACCGACTGTGCCTGGACGACGCTGTTCATGTGGTTCCATACGCAGACCTTGTGTTCGACTCGGCTAGACCGACCTGGAGTGGGGCTCGTGGTTTGCTGGAAAACCCAAGGTGACGTGTGTGGCTGCTTCATGGTGACGTGTGAGGCTGTCACCAGAAGGTTTATGCATAGACCTCTCTTTGTCTGAGGGGTTTTATGATCGTTTGAGAACCGGCTCGAGCCGCCCGAGGGGGCATCAAGGGGGTTCCTACATGCTGAGCTCTTCGTCGAAATGCCCTGCTTAGTGGTTGAATTCCTACATGCTCAACTGTTCAAGCATCTGGACTTAGATCTTAGTCCAGTTTGTCTGGACTTAGATCTTAGTACAGTATTATATGATCATGCCCATATGGTTCATCTCCAGTTTTCGGTCAATCGTAGGACATCCAACTCGCTCAGATCTTCCCTATCTTGCCATGCACGGTGTCTACTGGTTTAACGAATGCCTCTCATGGCAGGAGGGTAGACTTTTTGGCCCAGGTCTCAGAAGCATCCAGACTTCTCCACTTTGGCCGCCCGCATTGCGGTGTCGAACCTGCACAAGAACCTTGGTCGGACCGCGGAACGATTTGAAGTGGAAGTCTCTGTCGGACTGCTCAAATCTACAGAGAATCTACAGAATAATGTCAATGTTGTTGTTGTTGTCGTTGTCGTTGTCGTTGTCGTTGTCGTTGTCGTTGTTGTTGTTGTTGTTTCTGGAGATGTTCCGTAATTCGTACGAACCACAAGTACGAAGGACCTCATCTTCGTTCTACATGGTACGAACGAAGATGAGTCCGGCGTTGATGGACGCCCGGAGGATGAGACTGCACTGGGCTCCCCAGCCTGGGACGTGAAAGCTGGGGCTGCCGCTGGACGGATCACTGTTTCTACATTGACCATCTATCATGTGCAGCGTTTTCTGGGCGAACCTGAAGGTTTCCAAGGGCTGACCTTCTGCCTGTGGGAAAGCCATTCACAGCGGAGGCCGAACGCTTCGGGACCCCGCTTCGGGACCATCTGCGTAGCACCCGACCACGTCGAGAAAGACACATCAGCGGGGAACTGGGGTGTAGACCCACATCATCCATTCCCGCGCATGCCGAGACCACAACTCACCAGCCGACCCACCTGTGCCCCTCAGCTTTTCGATGAACCCACCAGGAACACCTCGGATTCCTTCGCCGAGACCTGTCGGATCCTCTTCCACTTCGTGGATGCGCAAGGGCGTGAGGCTGGATTGCTATCCCAGGAGCGCCGTGTAGTTGCGAAAAAGCTGTGGAGTAGGCCGTGTACTTGGATTGGTGAGGTGCATCGATATATGGGAAGGGGATGAAGCTTGATCTAAGCTTGATCTCTTTTGATGAGACAACACCGGGTTGCGAAGAACCTTGGAATGAACAAACAGGCTACCAAGTTCTGTTTGTTTTCCTCTTCCCATCCCAAAAATAACCGAAAGCGTCACAGGGGAATTCCCTTTTGTTTTGGCCAAGAAACCGTCAAACACATGCCGCCAGACCGTCTCTTGTGGCGACTTCTCACCTCCAGGAGGTCTTCGACTTCGTCCAGAAGAACGCAGGGGAATTGGATGAGGCGCTCGACTACGACAGGGATTTGGGATACGACTACTTTGGCCCCTCGGTTTTGGGACGGTTCTTAAGAGTCGACGACTGGGTTGGATGACTCTGAAGCACAGGGTCTGAAGGGGATTTAGGTTCAAGTTTTGCTGGTGGGAGGACTGGTCATATCTTGAAATGCTCCACAAGCTATTTACTCTAGGATGACGAAAGTGCTGGGCTCCATGTTCACAGCGCCCGCTCAGAATTTGATGAATATACAGCCCGGTATGTCGAGTTCTACTCAGGCTGCGTAGTCGCCACCTCGGCCATCCAAGCTCCATTGCCATCCAAGAATTCCTTCCAAACGCATTGATTTGGGGCTGATTTGGTTCAGAACAAGAATTATCAACAGGAAGTAAGCTTGAATCTCTCGATCCTTATTGTTTTCCTTATCACCAAGGTTTCAAGACGCTCGAAAAGTCCTACCTGCTGCGCGTGCACGGGAAGATCGTCGAGCGCCCTCAGCACATGATCATGCGCACCGCCTGTGAGATCCATTGCGGGGATCTTGCCAGCGCTCTTCAGAGCTACGACTTGATGTCCAGGACAAGTGCTGATTCTTCCATCTCTGAGGGGAACGAACCACCTGCTGGTCTTTACTATTTTTCTGTAGATCCTTTTTTACTTAAGAGGGCAGCAAAAACATGCTGTGGATTTTGCTTTGGAGAGGATGTTGAACACTCGCATTGCTCAACGACTTCAGATGCTCATCGATGCATTTCACGAGTTCAAATTGTCCGTGCTAGATGCCTTGCGGATGTGCGTTCACAGTAGCACCGGGCGAATCACGGAGGAAGTTCTTCACGCACGCGACGCCGACGCTCTTCAATGCCGGGACTCCCAAGCCACAGATGTCGTCCTGCTTCTTGCTGAAGATGAAGAGCGACAGCACCTGGGCGAGCTCATGGGGGCAAGGGATGGCAGGTGGACTTGAGGTTGAATCTTTCTCCCTGGAAGACTATTCATGGTTAGGTGGATGGCAGGAGCTGTTTGGTCTTGCGCACAGGGCCATCCGAACCCGGGGGCCTTTTCCCATCCACGTATAAAAACAGATGATTTCAGTGAGGGTAAGCTTTCTAAAAGGGATAGAGAGAGGCCTTGAGATGAGCACCACTGGGGTCTCCGATCTGAACTGGTCTCTTTGATCGACTGACGTCCGATCCACACTGGTGGCTGGATGATTCGTCAAGTGGGTGTTACACCAGAGGTGATTTTTGCTTCTTGAACCTTGGAGACCTTCCAGGGGAGAGACCTTCCAGGGAGACCTTCTAGGGGAGAGAGTGCAGCTTTCCCTGCAATGCGCGTGCGCATGAAGTCGATGCCCTGCAGATAGGCATCGACGGGATCTACGACACCTTAAAGCAGTGCGCGGTGATCTCAAAGTCCGCCGGTGGCATTGGTGTTGCAGCTGCTTGGCACTGCACGTGGAAGGAGGGAAGCATACATGTGTGAGTGACCCAAGCGTTTGGCTTTGGAACATGAGTGGTTGGTTCTCCTGGGTCTGACCACCATCGATTTGGGGAGGAATCGATGATCTCGACTCAACTTCAGATCTTCCAGTAGACTACTTCAGTAGAGATCCCCAGCACGGCCGGCTTCCCGTGTGAGAATCGCACGAGGCCAGTAGAATCCAAGGGCCATCGGATGCGGGACAGATGGTGGTTCAGTGCCACAAAATGCCGTCAGGGCGTACACGGTATTGAAACACGGAATTCGGAACATGCCCACCTCCTAACCTAGAAAGGTATGATACAGTGAAACTCCAAACACTGACTTATATAACTGTCATGTACTTCACAAACCAAGCCCACTTCCGCCACTTGGATTCCGAAGCGTCGCACCTGGCCCAAGGCCTGAGGCCAACGTCACGCGCTTTCACCCGAAGACCTTCGGTCACCCCGATCACCTCGGGTGTCGTGCCGAAGGCGCTGTCGCACCGGCCGCGTCAGGTGTCCAACATCCGCGCCAGCGGGTCCTACATCCGCGGGACCAATGGGCAGAGCAACGGCTTGGTGCCGATGCTGAAGAACTTCAACGAGACGGCCCGGTATGTGGATCAGGCGGGTGATCAGGGTATGTGACCTCTTCTTTTTTGTGGGTTTGGGCCGGTTTTGGGCTGAAGTCTACTTGAAATGTATGTGGAGGTATGATGAGATGTCTAGCAGAAAGGGCAATCAAGATCGCCACTTTTCTCAACTCGTCACAATTCATGTCCATTCCCTCTTTCTCCCCAACACAAGGTGTTCAGGTGTTTCAGGCCTGTTTTCAGCGGTTGGAATTCATTTCTTTTGTGCAAGTCCTTGTTCACCAAAATCTGTTCAATGAATGTGTTTGTGTGTTACAACTTACAACTCTACCGAAGTGGAGACTGTACAGGGTGTGATTGGCTTCGGTGCGGGGACTGTGGATGAAAGAGTGTCTTCTTCTTTTTTGAATGACATCAGCACAGGATAACTGCCCTGTGCAGGAAGGCTCTCTTCATGTGGATGCTCACCCAACTTGGTGGTTAGACACTGAACAAACCAGGTCCACTTGTGTGCGTGGGTTCAGAACCTTGTACCGTTTTATTGGGATTTCCTTCAAGCCGATCCCAGGCAGCTTGTCACCCTCCACAACCCGCCTCCGTCCATTCGGTCGTGGCACCAGTCGATGGCTCGGTCGTGGAGCGCGAGACTCGGTCTGCGTCGCCCGCCATGGCGACGCCCAGCGACGCGGAGCTCCCGACGGTGGCGCTGATCACGGGCGCCTCACGTGGCTTGGGAGATCGCGCCATGAGGAGTTCTTTCTTTTTTGTTTTTTTTCCAAGCTAGCTACTAGTAGCGTCCTTGCGACGAGTAGCGATGGCCTCCACCTAGTAGCGATGGCCTCCAACCTAGTAGCGTCCTTGCTGCTTGCAGGTTTTTGGGTGGGGATTTCTTTTTCTGTCTCTGCTGGTTTAGCGCTGCAGTTCGGGTTACAGGGTTCCCGTCATGCAGAGCCGCGGTAAAGAACGGTAAACATCGCAGAAAAGAACCAAGCTTCTTTCCTTTTTGGCATGTACTTTATGTCTATTGCATCAACTGAGGTGTACAAAGGTCCGGTGATTTGCAAAAGTCGAAACCAGCTTCTTGGGAGTTTGTCTTTATGGGGAATCACACTCTACACTCCACAAAAACCGCCCCACCGCCCAGAACAAGCCAACAAATGAAGAGTTGAGATACACATGTTGGCACCCCAAAATCGCAAAACATAGTTACTTTGTAGTTATCTACTGCCAACCCACAAACGAAGCCAGTCCCAGCTGACCTGCGATGTAAGCGACTCCCGTAGATCACACGAATGGATCGTTTCACGCATCTTAGAAGATGACCTTCAAAAGACGAAAGACAGATTCCTGACCAGAAGGCTTTTCCTTTTCTCCAACTTCCCCAGGTGGCTACGGCCGTGCCCTCGCTGAAGCTCTCTGTGCCGCCCGTGGCGCCCCACTGCGCTTGGCCTTGCTCGCGCGCGACGGGCCGGGCGTAGAGGAGACGGCGCGGCGGTGCTGCGAGGGACGCGGAGGCCGCGTCCAGAGCAAGCAGTTTCTGGGAGATTTGGGTCGAAGCAACGAGATGGTCCAGTGGATGGAGCCGGTCTTGGACTATTTGGCCCATGCAATTGAGACCGTATCGTGCACGGAACCAGGCCAGCTGAGAAGAAGTGATTTCCCTTTTGCCTGGTAATCCATCGTTTTGCAAGTGACTTTACTTCGTGACATGTAGAGCTTATGAATCACCGTAGCTTTGCGTTCTTCCACCGCAACTGTGGCTCCCATGACCAGCTTTTCTGGGAGATTCCACACTTGGTAGGGGAGTAAAAGCAAATGCCTCCAAATTCCCCTGACCTCACAAGTGGTACTTTGTCTTTTCCACGTTTGGATAGACATTTGCCAGGTGCCAAATGTGAGCTCTTGATCCTGCACAATGCAGGCAGCTTGGGCCGGCTGGCCTACAGCCATGAGCGGCCCGCACTGGAGGCCTCGATCGGAGCATTGGATTTGAACGTCACTGGCTTTGTCGTGCTCAGCCAGATGCTCTTGCAGCGCTTTGCCCCGCAGGCACTGGTGATTTGAGGGGATGGAAGTGTTGGGCATGGCGCGCCATGCCCGCTTACTAGGACATTCTTTTGAGGCATTGGATGAAAAGACCCTTCATTTGCTTTGTGCTGGATTTTCGATGCTTTGATGCACTCACTTGGCACCACAAAGCATCTTTGTTTGGAGGGTTTCTTGAGATGAACCCACAATAGATCCCTTTTGAACCCCTTTGGAGAGGACTCTCCAAATATGTCTGCTGGGGGTGGCGTGTGCAGGTGAGACGGCCAGAGAATGCCCTGCGAATTGTGGTGGTGAATATTTCCAGCTTGTTGGCGCTGCAAGTGATGCCCTCCTGGTCTTTATATGCCACTTGGGAGCTGCTAAGCGATTTTTACTGAGCGATTCCAGATATCCACGGCAAATCACTACCACAGTTTTTGCTATTTGTTCTCCCCAAAGAAGAACTCTTCCAAATATTATCCTCAGGTTTGTTGGACTGTGACGAGCCCCATGTACCACCAAGAAACCTTTTCGAAAGTAACATTTTCATACATTTTCACGTTGAATTGCTCATTTTTGCTCTGATAGACTGGGCAATCCCAATTTGGGCAGGTTTGCTATGACATGCTCCATATATTACTGTATCTACTGATTCAGATGACTGTTTAGTGAGTGTTTGTGATGATGGTTTGCCCCCAAATAGACAACTGAATGGACACACGTTTCTCCTGCCAAATGTGGAGTACAGGATTAACAGAAACTGACCCCTAACATCCTTTTACCATCTTTTATCTACATATTTTCGTGTTTTTCCCAGTATTTTCCAGGTCCGCCTCCCTCCGCGCCTGTTCCCATTACTTCGCCGCGAGGCCACCGGCAAGGCCGCCCGCGACATGTACATGCGCGCCTTGGCGGCCGATGCACATGCGGCGCAGTTGGAGGTGAGAACCTTGTCCTGGGCCCCCGGACCCATGGAGACCGAGATGATGCAGGAGATCTTGAGGCAGATCTGAGCCGTTCGTTTGGATGGCGGCCAAAGGGGATTGGGGGTGAAACTGTCCTGCGATTTGGAGCCGAAGAGCCGGGTTTTGAAGAGCCGGGTTTTGGGTGATTTTGTGGTTCTTATCCAAAGCCAGACGTGTATACCCAGGTCTTGCAAGTGTCGGATTTTGTAGGTTCTTTTCAGACGTTTTTGAGATTTTGAAGCAGGGCAGATGCCTCTTCCTTCAATTTCAGTTGCGACAGCCTCGGGTGTGTGTGATCGTTGTGTAGGGAATCCTGGCTTCCGAACTTGGCAGTGTGTTTGGAAGGTTGTGTTCATCCACCAGGCAGATGGCATGTTAGTTTAGATCATACCCAGAAACATCCATTTTGCCAGCCATTCTGTCTGGTGCAGAAACATTTGAATGTGCCATTCAATAGGATGGGGTTTCCTTTGATTTTGCCCCTTTGCTGATCTTTCTAATGTGACAACGCATGGAAACATGATGAGTACTTCCCTGACCTTCCCTGAGCACATAAAATTTCAACTCACAGTCCTTTTGGAAGCTTCTTCTCCTCAAGTCCCTTCAGTGATGCAAGGCGACCATGTTGGAAAGACACAGCAAGAACTCTTAGCCCAAATCATTGGTAATGCACCTTTGATGTTTGTGATGGATGAACAAGCCAGCAGTTTTGAGGGGATGGGGTATCCTCTGCCGCCATCGAAGCCCTGGAGGACCTGTCCTGATCCAGAAGTTCTCAAGCAGTTTCAGGAGATGCAGCACAAAGATCGTCTCGTCAGCTTGTCGGCCAGTGCAGAGAAGCTCATGAAGCTACTGAAGGAAGATTCATTTCAGGATGGAGCCCATATCGATTTCTTCGATCTCTGAGAAGGTTTGCTGTGAACCCAATGAAATGCTGCAAAACGCCATGGAACTCTCCATGAACTCCCCATGCTCGTGCTCTCCACCTCTTTCACTTCCCAACGAGGAACCGTGCTCTCGACCGAGCGCGTGCGAGCGCCAGCGCCGGGTCGACCCGGCCGTGGCGGTGCATGACCCGCGCCGAGCGACCGAGCCGGCGGAAAAGACGTCTCTCCGGGGCATCCAACCGGTGGATCCGCAAGGAACGCTACGCGTCGTAGCTGAGTAGCTAAGTGCCCAAAAACTACGAACGTAGCAAGAAGCTACGAACGTAGGCAAGGAAGCTACGAACGTCACATGGGTTGGAAGTGGATGTCCACTTCCAGCTGATTTTGGTCTTCGGATTTCGGGCCATGGCATCCACTTCCAGCGAGTGTAGGATAAGTTTCACAGGTACCTGGAAGAGTTGGCTAGGTTCGAGTGGGGGCATCCGTCGACTATGTCCAGGAGAACGTGCTCCATCGACTTGCTCCATAATTACGAACGATCCCGAGGAACCCAGGTCTTGCGGTGTTTCATCGGCAGATGAGTTCTGAAGTATCACCATTCAACCCATTCAAGAGCTTAGACCCCCCCAAATGGCACATTCTCACAGAAAGTCCTGGCACGCAAGGGTGGAGGCAAGCGCAAGGGTGCTCTGGCGGTGTATTTGGAGCCCTGGCATGCGGACGTCTTCGAGTTTTTGGAGCTGAAGAAGAACCATGGGATCCTTGGGTGCTGCCGCGGAGGGCGGTGAGGAGGGCGGAAAGGTCCGGGTCAAGAACCATGGGGGTCAAGGGTGGCGACACGACACTCCGAACACATCACATGGAAGTGGAAAACCCACTGTTGTAAAGGAAAGTAGTCTTCCAAGGGACCGTTTTCCACTTCCATGTGATGTGTTCGTCAGAGTGTACACATCATGGAACATCATGGAACGTGAATGAAGAACGATGCCAGATGGTGCTGGCTGACTGGTCTGGCTGTGGTGGACGACTTTTGGGCTTCCCGCTTAGAGCCTCACGAAAATCTGATTCGGACGTTTAGCACAGGTGTAACAGCCATGTGGTGACCACAGTCCCCTCCGTGAGTCACCAGCAGCTTTGTGCATTTGGAACCATTTGGACACGATCTGAACTGTAAAGAACTGAGGCCATTCAGGTAGCTCTCGTAACAACAAACAAGCCACAACACCCACACATGACTTGCCCGACTCAACTCTCCGCCCTGCCCCCTTCCAAGGAAGGAGGAGCAGCGAGCAAGGGACTTGTTCTACGGCCTTTGGGTCCCAGACCTCTTTATGAAGAGGGTGAAGGCGGACGAGGACACGACCTCCTAGTGTGTGATGCGCTGTCACTGTCGCACACAGAGCGAATCGCGGGGTGCGCCTCTTTTTGTTTCTGCGTGCTGCATGAGGTAACGGTCTAGATGTATGGAGCTCTCAGTACTCACCATGAGAACGCCACTTGCAACCGAACGGCAGTTCTGAACGGTGCCGAGGTTCATTGAACGTATGGAACATCATGGAACATCATGGAATTGTAGTGGTAGAAATCATCATGGAACTCTACAAGGTGTGTTGGCTCTGCCCTCGTTTTCGCGCGAAGGAGTGGACCTTGTTCTGCCCGAACGAGGCCTTTGACGAGAAGAGCGGAAAGACACTGATGGATCCTCACTTTGGGTTTGGTGAACGTGGGTAAAATCCATAAACAGACGTTGTGTTTCTTCATTGTTTCTTTTAACAAAATTCGTTTCTTTTTTCTTTTGTGTTGGTCCAACCCTAACCATCATTGGACCAAACCTTCCACCTTGAAGGCAAACATCCTTCACCACCTGAAATGGTGGAGGGGCTTCTTTCATCCCAAGTCGCGCGACTCCTCGCGCGACTCTTCACGTCGGTGGTGCCCGTGTCGACTCTTCCACCAAGGGTTGAGGGTCGGAGGGTCGACAGCCTCCAATCCCAAATAACTGAATAGTGTACATGTCGTTCTTTGGGTCTTATGATGTCCAGAATCCGAATGCATCTTCCGGGTCTGAGAATGCCTATATCTATCACCGTGTGACGCACCACCATTGACCAACGACGAACCGACCGGCCTTTCACCGACTCCTTCGGCCTTAGCAGCCACCGCTGCGAAACAACCGGGCGCAGCGTCACGTCGTCCGTTCGGAAACCGCGGGGAGTTCGCCTTAGGACCTTTGGGGCGAGGACTTCGAAGAGCTCTACTGCCGTTTGGAAGCGCAAGGCAAAGGACGGAAGACGGTGAAGGCCTGGCAGAGCGCGCAGCTCGAGCGCCTGGAAGCGCTCGTGCGGAGCACGAGAGCTGGCTTAGCGGCGAGCGGTTGTTCTTTTGAAAGAACGAGAGGGTGGGCGGCGACAGTCAGGGCAGGAGAGTAGGGGTCACGAAAACATTTTAAAGCACAGTAAAGAATCCTTTCGAACCTCAAAACAGATGAGACATGAGCATGTCCGGGTTCGCAGTGGCAGGCGCAGCTCTTTGTGAAAGGATATTTTGTTTTTGATACTAATTAATTTTCTTTTTGATAGGATACAGACAATATTTTCTTTATATATATATATATGTATATTTATTTTCTGTTTGATAGCCCGGCCTCGTCCTAGCAGAGGATTCTGCAGTTTTTGCTGAACCTGTTGAATGGCATCACCAACAACGGACCCTCATCTTGTCCACATTCCACAAACTGGTTGACACGAATCGACCTGAGGTTGGAACTTTCAAGAATCCACTAGAAAGTCTTTCATATTGAGGTCCAGAGTGTTCGCGTGACTGCCACCACAGACGATGTCCCAAACAGTTTTGATTGGATACAGAAGTGGGTGGAGACAACCCATTGGTGCATCCATCCGTAGCTGCACGTACAAACATCATGCAAGAAACGCCACGGCGTTTATATACATATTCCGTATTCCTTGCATCATAAACTATATCAAACATTTCAACTAGGCCTATGGTAATGTGTTGTGATGTTTGATTCTTTTGGAGAACTGTGGGACAACAGGATTAACAGGATTCCAGAACAAGTGGACGGCACGCCTCGCAGCTTCCAGCTCTTCAGCTATGTATGATGGTTTCCTCAGCAACGCTAAGGGGCCCCTGTGGTGTGGGATGTTCCGATGGCCGTCTAAGGGGGCCAGTTTTGAGGTTGAGGTATGCAGTCCTCTTCAAAGACATCACGGAGTTTTGATCTGAGATCAAGCACGGAGTTTCGACCCGAAAACACCAGCCCTTTCCCATTGATACTTTCCTGAAGACACCAGCTTTTCACGGACTGGACAGGCGCTTCAGCTGTGGTTCCGCATTTTGGAAGCGCAGATGGAGACTGGCACGCCTTACATGCTGTACAAGGAGAGGGAGCCATAGGAGGTGAGAGGGGCTCGTTTTCGGTTTCTTGGTCCTTTTCCATCGGACGCTGGTCGGACACTCCGGTGAGCAACCCCAAGTTCTCATGGCTGCAATAGTACTCTCAGAACTCACTCTGCGTACACTCCAGAGAGACTTTGAAGGCCGACCAAGATTCCCTGAAACTGGCCAAACATGGATGGCGCTTTGGGGCCGCTGCAGCCTTCGGATCCGATCAGGGAGGTGTTCTCTCTTGCAGGTTTTGGAGGTTAACGACACACTCACTCGAAACGAACACGACTCGTACCAACACGAGGACTGATGGCAGGTTCATGGGGACTTTCCTTTGACAGAAAATCAGAAAGAGCCCTGACAGGGCCCTTGACACATTCCGAGAACAGCAGAGAGATCTGACTTCGGTGCAGACCCAAAGACCTGAAAGCCCAAGCTGCCCAAGCTGCCCGGTTCGCGGCCGGAGAAATAGGTTGGTCCGCAAGAACGCACCGTTCGCAACAAACAGATGAAACAAGACGAGGCCTCTGAAAGCGAGTGCCACTGACCCACGGACCTGACCCACAAACATGGGCTCCGAACGGATGACGATGTTCCGAATACCAGTCCGGTGGTGCCATCCACTTGCAGTTAATTCCAGGGAGTGTGATGGCCAGTTTCCAAACGGCCAGGTTTTCTTGCAACAGCGTTTTTAAAAAAGGTTGCACGTCATGGGAAGCACATCAGATTCTTCAAATGATGAGCCGCGCTTGGCGAAAGAAGCTTCCAGGTTGGATAGGTTCCTGTCCACCAGTACACCTGACATCATGTTGGTGAGTTCTTTAGCTTAAGCACTTACACTGGCATTTTGGCTGCTTTGGCCGCGAGGATCATGCCAACAGGAAGTCCAACCAGCAGAATCTGAGACAGCAAGGGGCAGAGAGGGAGGCATCCAGTGGTGGCCTTCCGGGTGACCGTTTTGCACCTTTCTACAGCATGAGGGCGCCACCTGATCGCTTTGGGTTTTGGGGTCTTCACTGATGGCTCTTGAAGAGAGTGCAGGGACTCAGAACCCAAAAGACCATTGGTAGACTCAGGTAGACCAACAGATCTTTGAGAATTGCCATTTGGGTCTGGCCGGTTGCCTCAAGTCCACTTGCCCGTTTCTGTCCTCCGAATTTGCGGATCAACGAGACACCCCCCCAGGCCACTGCAGGTTTTCCTCGGCTGAAAGCACACGCGCCCAGGAACTTGGGCACCATCCACTGCAGCAACCTCTGCACCGAGATCATCGAGTACACCTCGCAAGATGAGGCTATGGGTTCCAAAGAACAGCTATACCCTAGGGCTCCAACCACATCCTCAGAAGGTGGTCGGGGTGGGTTTGGGGGGTCTAACCACCTTTTGAGGATATGTGGTTGGAGTTTTTAGGGATACAAGGTAGGCCCATTAAGGCGCCAACTGGAGAGGTTCAGTCGGAATGAACACAGCCATCACCAGCATGGACAAATCATTCAGAGCTGGCACAAGCATTCGAAGTCCAGATCGGCCCAAGCACTTGGGAAACGGTGCCAGTGTCTCAACCGATGATTTTCCCAGCAGTTTTTTGCCACCTCTGCCGCTGGACGCTCCAGGTGGCTGTGTGCAACTTGGCCTCCATTGCATTACCCAGCTTCGTGGCAGAGGAGGGTTATGACTTTCAGAAGCTGTATGAGGCCAGTGGTCAAGCTGGAGAAGTGGAGCATCTGTTCACCAACTTGAACTCCTCCCAGTAGGGTAATGCTCCAGTGGTTTCACCAACTTGTTCACCACCTCAACTCCACTTGTCACCAACATCACACTTGAAATCCACCGTGTTCTCCTCCATGTTCTCCGCCACGCTACGGGTGAACCCGACCGACCTCGCGACCTCGCGACCTCCCGAGCCTCGACGCCAGGTGACGAAGGTCGTGACCCGAAACCTCAACAAGGTGCGGATTGGACCAAGGAAGCGCATCACCGCGGGCGCCCCGTTTTCCCGCATTTTTTTAATTTACATAATAACCATGGTGTAAGGACCCGAAGCGTGGGGGAGGCAGGTGAACGTTTTTTTTGTTTTTTTTGGGTCCTGGGACCTCAGTGAAGATCGTGAACTTGAAGGCTTCAGAGCACCGCAGCACATGTGATTCATATGATGCCCTAGGGCTCCAGTCGTACCTCCTCAGATGGTATTCGGGCCCTCCTGGCACCCACCCCAGTCCCAACTTCTTAGAAAGTACGACTAGAGCCCGGATGGGATGGTGATGTGGACAGGTGACGACCGGTGTACCCTCTCACCGGTGGAGGAGACCTTGGGGTCAAAAGAGGAGGCTGAGGGGTCGATCCCAAGAGACTGACTTGCTGCACTTTTGGGCCGTGTGGACCCACTTGGCAAGGCAGGATGATATAGTGGTTTCAGAGGTTGGATGGCACTGGATGGGGGTCCATATAAACCACCGACATTGGGGGCCCTTGGGCCATCTACTCTGAGCCCACTGTATATAGAAGGTGAATATTCAGTTTGAGACTTGGCCCTAAAGCAATCTTGGCCCGATTCCTTTTCCCTTTCAAGGTCATTGACCGGAACTACTACCCGGTGGAGCAGGCGCAGCGCTCCAACATGCGTCACCGACCCATCGGTCTGGGCGTTCAAGGTTTGGCAGATGCTTTCATGATGATGACGCTTGGCTGGACACTGATCAACCAGCAGCGAGGTGCAAAGTCAGGTCTTGGAGACCTTCAAATGGGACCAACGGTTCTATTTGGGGCCCTCTGTTGGAGCTCAATCGCCCCCCTTCGTGTCGTTCCACATGGTTTCAACATGGCGCAACATGAGTCCGACCAGACTCGAAGAGGTCCGTGAGTGGCAAGTCCCTCAGGAAATTGCCCTTCGAGAGTGAAGAGGCCAAGCGCTTGAACGAGGCAGGGGGTGGGTGGACGGCGCTGGACTTTTGCAGTCTAGCCCAAGAGGGAGGATCTCTTGAACGAAGGTGCAGCATCTCTTCCGACCCAGAGGGGTCGATCCAACCCCATAGGGGTCGATCGCCCCGGGGTTCGCCCTCCTGGGTTCTAGGCAGGATGATGTCCCCTACTTGTATGTTCCGCTGCAGGACATCTTTGAGACCATCTATTTCGGAGCCTGTGAGGCTCGGGGCTCGTGGAGGGGCCACAGGAAGCATGAGGTGGCTTGTGGTTCTTTGGTGCCTTAATTCCCTGTACCTCGATGTGAGTGAGGTACAAGAATGTGTGAATTCTATGTGGCAAAAGAAGAGCACATGACAGCACATGTGTCCTCTAAGTGCCTCCAAGTACCAACTTTCTTTGACAGCGACAGTGAACAACTCTGAGTGCCTAAGGGTGTAGTGACTCAGTTGGAAAGTCAGACAGGCAGTGTTGGGTGGCACTCAAGGATGTGGGTTTGGGTGCTTGGAGTCATCACGAAGCGCCAGAAATCTGGGCTTGGGGTCTTTCACACCTGTCAATGATTCTGTTCAGCGAATGAAGGCAACAGGCCATATAGAACTGCGGCAGAGCTAAGATGATGCCTACCCCTTCTGGTTTGTAGAACATACATCAATGATACAATCTAGATGCGGGTCCAAAGCCAATCAACAATGCCACCATAGTGGCATGTGATTACTTCCCCTCCAATCATCCTTCTGTGTCCAGAAATGTGGCCAGGAAAAAACACCATGTGTTCCGAAGATCACAAGATAAAACCGTCCACTTCATCTTCGTCTGCGTCCGCTTACCACGTGACTCGACGACTTTTCACTCGTCATCTTCCCATCTTCTTCGTGGAGACGGTCGACCTTCGAGGCCTCCTGCGAGTTGGCCGAAGTGAATGGGACCTACGAGACCTATGAGGGCTGCCCGGTGAGCCAAGGCAAGGCCACGGCATACGCCGCACGGCATACGCCGGTGTGGCTCCATGGATTCAATGGTGGCTTGCCCAGGGATAGCAATTCCTTGGTGGAGGAAACTATCCATTCAACTCTTGGCATGTTCATGCTAAAGGTTATGCTTGGCAAACCGCAAAGGCCTCAAGGATATCACCTAGAATGTTGCCTGAAATGCCACATAGCCTTTTTGTGGGCCCCCCCCCATCTCAAGAATGGGAATGCAGAGTCTCAGAGCCATCTGCAGGATCAAAGACAACCAGTCTGCAGAGTCTCAGCATGAGGGGACCCAAATCTCCGTGGCAAGACACCATTGAATCAAAAAGGAGTCATGTAACTCATGCAACCAGTCTGTCTTCTCATCACAGTTAGCACAGAAATCGTGGTTTTGAACCGTAACTGTTTCTGGCGGGGGATTTGTTGTTTGCCTCAGTTACTGGGCTTTGTCACTTTCGATTAAACATCCATCTTTGCTGCGCACCAGGCCAGCTGCAGTTCGACATGTGGGGCGTGACGCCCAAGAGTGGGCGCTGGGACTGGATGCTCGGTGATGATGATGTGTTGGACGGTCTTCTGGAGGACTTCTCGGATTTCGGTATGAATATGACTGAACTACAAATTGCCACAAGGAGATGCACTTTCGCCTCGTGTTCCAACGGGGGTTCGCCTCTGCGGGTTCACCCTCTGTCCGATCCGAGGACTGAGTTGAAGCAGCGCATCGCCCAGAGTGGGCTGAGGAACTCGCTCCTCGTGGCGACTTGGAGATGAGTGGTGCCTTTTTGCTGTGTTTGGTGGCTTCTTGTGATGCTGGGTATAGTGGTTGGTATAGTGGTTTGATATGGTTTGATGGATTCCGTGCTCAGAAAGGATCCGTTTCATGCTTTTTTTGGGGGGCCTCTTGGGGGTCTTTCTATCAACCTCTCCATCTCATGATCGCAGCCATCCAGGCCCATGTTCGCCCATGTTCGCCCGCCCGAGTCACCGAGGCGCCCATGCCGACGGCCTCGACGGCGCAGATCTTGGGGAACAACGAGTCCTTCGAGCCCTACACGTCGCCCGGTTCGGTCCCACGAACCCGCGCGGCTTCCGCGGCGGCTTCCGAAGCACGACGCGGGGAGCGGGGCGAAGGAAGCGACGCGCCCCACGGTCTCGCGTGACGGAGGGTTCTTCCGCGCAGCTCGCTCCGGAAAGCGGAGCGAATTCTTCCGCGAAGGCCAAGCGCGGGTGGTGTGGACGGTTTTCCCCTTTCCGGAGGGTCGGAGAGTGAAGACTGGGACTATTGGTGGGAGCGAGAGGTCACAGACAGACTTTCATGACTGGGGGGCAGTTCGACCAACCTGTGTTGTGGGCTCTGCTGATGTGGATGGTTTTTGATTTGAACATGCAGGTGATTGGGTGGTCTGATATGGGTGGGGGGGAGTAGTACAGTGAGTACAGTAGCAGCGATCCTACACTCTACACATGGCTTTCCCAACAACTAGATCTAGGATAGAGCCAGTACGTTTCTAGACGGTCTGGCCAGAATCGTTTCTAGAATTGTTGAATCGTGACGCCCCCAGTGGTTTGGACCTCTTATTTTTAAGCATGTTGGCCGAAGGACCTTCCGAGTAGCTGATGTATGGAGCTGATGACTGAAGTTGAAAAAAAGTCATCTTGAATCACCTCAGATAGTCTCTCACTATGTGCCAGCCTGTATCCAACAAGTGTGGAAGTGGGAGCTTCCTCTCCACACCAGGTGTCGTTCTACCGTGTTTGTTGGAGATCGGAGAGCGGGCATAGGATGGGCCGACCGCAGCGTCATACGCCCCTCTTGGTAGACCTTCAACGAAGGGAGCCCCATGAGAAGAACGTCTCGCACCTGTGTGAGAAAATGGTGCCAGGTCTAACCACCGAACCTGAGGATATGGGCAGCCCTAAGGTTTATCCTCATGACATGCACGTTTCCCACGCGCTGCGCCACGCGACTTTGGCCCGGTGGGCTCGAGGCAAAACCTCTACGTGCGTCGTGTGCTGTCGGGCGAGTTCGTCCAGGTGCCGCGAGCCTTGGGTGGCTCAGAGATCTCAACGAGCACTTTGATGCGCTTTGATGCGGCGAACATCATTTCGATACGTATGTTTCCTTAACTGTATCCATATTCAAGGGACTATCACATGGAAGATTTTAGATAGATGTTTTCTTCTGAATGTAGGTCAAGGGTCATTGATAAAGAGGGCAATTTGATTTCCTGCCAACTGTTGTGTTGAGACATATGAATCAACTCAGCTCGCTCCTCCGCTCTGCTCTGCTTCCACTCAGCTCGAAACACCACCCCTCGCAGGTGAACCGACACCTGCTGAAGGATTTGATCGCCCATGGCCTTTGGAACGAGGTAGCGATCTGGGGTGGCGGTTGCGATCAGATCGAGTCTGAATACTCCTAGAACGGTGGAATGTTTGTGGAACGGTTGAATTCACTCCTGTTTTCGCCTCCAACCATGAATGAGGGATGCTAGGAGGAAAGTGCACTTATTGGTTTTGGTTTGTAAGCTTGGACAAACACAGTGAGACACAAGTACTGTTGACTGTTGATGGAACGGATCGGACACGTGGCTCTTTTTTAGCATCCCTGTTTACCTGAACAGCGGGAGAGGAGAGAGATGAGAGATGAAGCACCCAAGCGGCTCCATTTGGAAAGACCATGGGAAACACAACAGGATCAGCTTTTGGGGGAACTCTCACCGTTAGAGAAGGACCCCAATTCTGCGGATTCTGCTTCTCTCAAACATATATATCCAATTTTGGTTTTGCTTAAGGAGACTCCTTTTAATCTTCCCGATGCCCCATGGGCAAATCTCTTTGGGGGACTCTTGGTATCTTTTTTACCAGGGTTTCTTAAGCATTTTGCAAGCTCCAAGCACCCGCAGGATCCAGTCGTCGCTGAGTTCTTTTTTGGGACACGTCCAAATGTGAGCGTCTCAGTGTAGCAGAAGAAGACTCTGTGAACTAGAAGGTGTTTTGCCAGGTGAAGAGAACTGAACCCCCCCCAAAACATCCAAAAGAAACCAGGACTCCCTGGAGAATTCAGACCTCACACTCTCATGGCAGAGGAGTTCCCGTGGTCAAAACGACAAGACCTTGCCACAAAGGCATGCACCCTCCACCTCTTTTGTTAGGAGCTACGCACGCAGCTGATCGCACAGAACGGGAGCGTGCAGAAGTTGGATTTGCCTGCAGAGATGAAGGAGTGCGCGGAATTGCCGTTCAAGCAGATTCGGCAATGGTGCAAGTAGAGTAACGTTGATAAAGGCAGTGGTACTTTGAAACTAAAGAAATGGTAGCGTGGGATCCCTTTCTTGCTGAAACGAAGCACCCCCATCCTCTCAATGCGAGGATGTAACCTTCGGACGACCTCGTCCAGGTCAACAGCTACAGTAGGCATCAGACGAGCGCTAAACCTTCCCCACACCTCTCAACTGAACATGTGTCATCACCGTGTCTTCTTGAGGAGCTCTATAAGACTGTCTGGGAGATCAAGCAGAAGGTGGTGGTGGACATGGCCGCGGATCGTGGGGCCTACATCGACCAGTCCCAGTCCCTGACGCTTGGACCAGAGAGAGAAGGGTGGGGTGGTCTACATTTCTATATCCCAGTTTGGTCCCAAGAAAGACAGCCAATTGGTTTCCTTGTCTCAATCCTGAACCTCATGCTTTGACTACTTCATCAGATGTTTTCATGATCACTGATCACTCACTTCTCTTGTGTTTCGTGTTTACATGGTCCAGTGGTCCTTTTCCGTGCCGGCAGCCAGGCTGGCGCCCCAAACCGAGCCCCCGCAAAGCCAAAAACACGCGCCGGCCGACTGCCGGTGAGGAACATTCACATGATCGATGCGACCACCTCGAAGCTCAGCTCGATGCACTTCCACGGCTGGCACCGGGGCTTGAAGACCGGCATGCGCCTCGGAGTGACGGAGCACGGTCGGACCGTGCCCGGTGGAGCTTTTTTCGGGTTTGGCTAGAGGTGGGTTTTTGGGAGGGTGTTGGAAGAAGACGGAGATGTTGCAACAAAAAGATGACATCAACATACATCAACATGGTAAATAAACGATTCTGTAATATATAGATGTAAATAGTGAGATGTCTTATACGATATCCTCTAGCTGGAGGTATATAGAACACATTGTTGTAGTCTTCTCTGGATTGTTTTGTTCAACTTTTCCAACATGTTTTGACCACCCAGCTGTTTCAATAGTCTCCATCACGAGAAACCACAACATCCTCCCCAACAACCACCTGTGGGAGGAGCTTCCCGAAAACCTGGGGCAACGTGGAGTCGAAGCGGAGCGTCACTTTTTGCCACCCGTTTCGAGATCCAAGACCTCCCCCCCCCCCCTGCGCTGAGGTCCACGCCTGCGTCGGACACGTAGAACCTCTGGGACACGGTTTCCAGTAACTTCCTCGTGTGGAGCCTTGGTCAGGTACTACTTAAGGACGAAGGCGGCCGCGGATGCCATCAAGTTCACGGTGGACGTCCGGAGCGCCCAGTTGGGACGTCCGGTGAAGCCTTCAGCCTTCAGCAGCGCTGGTTCGGTGTTCCGAAGAAGCGACCGGGGTCGTGGGGGGCGACCGGGTCGTCGGGGACCGGAAGAGAGGCGAAGGTCGAGGGTCTCTTCTGCTGCAAGGTCCAGGGTCTCTTCTTCCGCGCACCAGGGTGATTTGGGAAAGAAGAAATTCGAACATCTCGTCAGTTGTGCCATCGCTTCGCTTTGCTTCGACGCTCGGAGGCATCACCAGCTGTCTGGGTACAACCATGAAAACGAGGACCGTCACTCGTGGACGACCGTAAGGTGAAGAAGTTGAAGCCTGAAGAGGAATCCATCAAAGCACCAAGATGCAACGACGAGCGTGGTTGGGGTGAAGAATAAGCCTTGAATAAGCTTGGCCTTGATTTTTGGCAAGTGGATGCAAGTGGTGCATCTATTTTTAGGAGTATGTTCAAGATAATGAGCTTATTGGGAGGTATCAAAAGGATAATTTTAATTACTTGGAATCTGTCTGTTTTGCATGTATTGCACAGAAGGGCTGTTGAGTGGTGAAAATCTCGCTGCTCGTCATCGAAACTGGGAGTTTTGCTGTTTGAACTGAGTTTGTGAATCAAAGTGTGCCAGGTTCTCTCTCTCTCTCTCAGGATGTCTGAGCCTTTGTTGAAGGGCTTCTCTCCAACCGAGTAGACCCGCCGAAAGCGGTGCCAAGATCGGTTTTGGGGTATCTTCACCCGGCAAAAGAATCACTACGTTGGAACTTTGATGGCATGGACCTTTGGAAGACTATTTTCCTCTGCAACCCAGTGGTTTTCAGGTTCCATATGCGTCTCTTCTTTCCTCTCCTTGGATAGGATGGTACACGACGGGAAAACCATCCGGCGCTTTTTTTGACCCCTTTGGCGAGTACGGGCAGAGCTTGATGAGCACAGGTTAGGATCACTGGGAAAGAAAACATCATTCACTGAGGAGGAGTGGGTTTTGCATGGATTTGCCACTTACACCCACCACAAACAATTAGAGTCTTATAGACAGAAGCCCTGTCACACACAGATCTGTGGAGGAATGGCACCTTGAAAAACAAGCGAACTTGAATGGCCCGTGGGGCTGGGGATTTTCCGGGTGGACGCAGAATGTGGACCGTTCTTCTTGTCTTCGTGGGGCTCTGGTTGTGATGAGAAGATGCATTGGGAATTAGATCCTTTCTTTTTCCAACCAGGCCTAGCGGGGCCCCTGTCGTCTTCATGGGGCTCCAGCTCCGGTCGTTTTTCTCTTCTGCGCCGTCCGGGAATGCGCAGACTGAAGTTGTGTGTTCTTGCAATGCTTTCACCTTGACTGAGGCACTGAAGGCAGAAGCTCCGAAGTATTCTTGTGTCGGATGCAGTGCCTAAGCATGCCTAAGCTCCGCTCCGTGCGGAGTGGGACAATGCAAACGAATGAGAGAGGGTTGAGCCAAAGATCCTTTTGTGGCAAGCTGGGTCGAGTGAAAGCAAGCTGGCTCTTGGATGATGTTTGATGCAAGTGAGGCCAATCTGGAGTTTGGACTCCGACCTCGATCCCCCCTTTGTGATCCTTTGTGCATTTTGCCGTTCAACAAAAAGCGCCCAAGAAACCTCAGTTCAGCTCACCCAGCTGGTCATTGTCACCGTTGAGATTCATCGGCGGTGCTGGGGAAATGGTCGTGGTGCAGAGAATACCACGGCTTTTCACTTCTGGGGGGTGCTGTGGGTTGGCGAGCGCACGCTGAGACCAAGTCGACCTGAAGCCAAGATCGCTCATGTGGATCCTATGTCCGACCTAAGCTGCCTTGGTTGGTAAGCTGCCCATACGGTTCAACGAGTAACGCATGGTAACGATGTTCCTGAAACTGGTCCCACTCGTCCGTTCCTGGGTCAACGGCCGGATGGATCCAGGATCCAACTAAATAACCTCTATATACTTGTACCCAAGACGTCCTCCCCAAACGACTCGAGAGTCTCACATGAAGTGAAGTGTCTGGTTGGTGATCCCTTCATGTCCAGTGTTGACGTGAAACGGCTTGGCAGAGTGCAGCTCAGCCTCCTCGCAGTTGCGGTGCGGCCGGGGAAAGGTCGTCTCCGAGACCACTGGACGTCCAGAGAAGCGAAACCGGTAGATGTAGATCTGGTGCCTGGAAAGAGCTTGAAACCCAAGGGTGCTAATGCCAGAACCAAAAAGATGCACGGAGTAACGACGCGACGAGTGATGGCCGGGAGTTCTTTTGGTTCAGAATGGTTTCTGTATTGTAATAGGAGGATATATAGGAGGTATGTGTATATGTATATAATGTTTTGACCTTTCGTTTTGGACTTTTCACAGTTCAACTTTGAATGTTGTGGCGCGTTTTCTGCTCAAAGGACCAGCTCGTCTTGGACTCATGGTGCGAGTGTATAACGTTGACTCTGGGTGCGGAGAGTTCTGCAGCTGAGACTTGATCTTTGGTAACGCGGTAACGCATGAGATGGACCAGTCGTGTGGCTTCCCTCGGGGTTGCTGGGGAGCGGTATGTGTAAGTCTATGTACGTAAGTCTATGTATATAGATCCATTAGTCTAGGTGTCCCATCATGGGTGGGAGCAACGAATGTCCGGCGAAACACATGCAGTGGCAGACGGACACAGAGTCATCACCGGTCGCTCGCGTCGTCGCATCAGGCACGCGCGGTGCGGGTGCATGTGTATCTGACCTGAAGGCACGCCATCATGGCTGCATCTTGGTTTCGGGAACTTTCCCCCTAATGAGGCTTGGTCTCAGTGCTTTGGAGGGGGTCACTTCTTTTTGATCCGATTTGCTCTGATCTGCAGCGCATGTCTTTCACCACTTAGTCATGTGGAAGAAGTCCGGGAACGGAGTCTTCTCAGCTGCTTTGCTTTCCACCACTCAGCTGGGCGATGCTTTTGGCTGCAGAGCGTGTTTAGGAATTTTGGAAGAACACATCAGCAGGACGTGACGCAATCAAAGTCGATCAACTCAGGACAACGCAGTCAATCTGAAGTGAAGAAACATGTTAGACTGCATCGACCACTCCGAAAAAAAACCATCACATGATTGAATCACATCTAGAATCGATTGTACCAATCAGCCGCTTCACAACAAACCTCGCACCAAAGAGAAGGTAGCTGCTCCAGACCCATCCCGACCCAGCCAGCCCCGAACGAAAAAGACGAACACGTTCTTCTTCGGAACCCGGTGACCCTCGGACCCTCGCCGTGGGCTTCACGGTGCTTCTGCGTCGCCGACTCCGCGGATGGGAGTGGCGTAGAAGCACAGATCGAGAGCCCTTTTTGCGCCCGGGGAGCCCGGACCAGCGAGCGAAATCATCTTTGGATGGGGTCGGATGGGCGCTTGGATCAGCTGTTTCTGGCTTTTTGGGGATCAGCACTGAGTGGACTTTCTTATGGTCTTAGGTTGATGTTCGACCAAACATGAGCGCTTCAGAGCTGTTGATCAAGCACTCGAACGGCTACGAAGCTCCAGTTTGGGAGTCTCTGCGCTTTCCCCGCTTTCCCGGATAAGCATCAATTTCATTGCCTGACATCCACCGTCGCCCACGAAAGAAAAAGCAACAAAATCTACCAAAGAGCTACAGCAAAAGCGAAGAAGTTCCACTTCAGCTTGCGAATGTGCCTCGCTTCTCCCTCAGATGTCCCAGGCAGAACTTCACATGCACAAGTGGCTGGGGCCCCAGCTTTTCGGCGTCAGTTGAATCCGCTACGACCTAGCCAAGAAGAGCCAAACACCCCAGAAAATCGCCCCAAACATCAATCTAAATCGATGAAGGACATGGAGCTTCACGAAGCTGTTTCAGGTGAAACTGATTTCTCGACCGAAGACTTCTCTTTGAAGACTGTTGGCATGGACCTCTTCTTTTCTTGCTTTTGTAAAGAAAAACAATCAAGAAAAACACCTGCCGTGGACATAAAGAAATCTGCTGACATCGAATGGGCGCTAGGCGAGCGCCCTGCTGATTCGACTGATTTGTTTTCAGGAAACGGCGATGGAGCCCAGCTGTGAGGCAACGGGCGGTTTGGGAACTCCTGAGAAGGAAGGGAAAGAATGTCTGGGACTTCTGCAGATTTTCGGAGATTTCGTGAAGAAGAACGAGATGTGTAGGGGTTTTGCGAGGCTATTGGCCAAGAACGAGATGGGACTTGGAACAGCAACATGGGACTTGGAACTCGACTGAGGATTCGGTTCTCTGGGCGATTGGTTTGAGCGAAGATTTAGTGCAATCCACTGACGTCCATCATCGTCCACCACCCCGATTTGCGGCCTCAGAGCCCTCGTGTCGTCACCAGAGCCCTCGTCAAGTCACCAAAAGCACCCCGGTTAGACCAATTTTCATGCATTCAATCCCAATCACGCTAACTCACACCCCCAAAACATCTGTGGCAGTTGAGATACCCTTTGACCAACAAAGCGCTTTGCAGAACCTCGTTTTTTTTGCAAGTTCATGTGCCCCTTTGACCATCCGAACTCCTCCCCCGGTCCCTTCCAAACCCGTCGGTCCAGGACGTAGGGGCCCCGACCGACTTGAGTGCGGCGGAGGCGGGAGGAGCAGGTCGAAGGGGTGTGATCCATGGAGGGTGCCGGTTCCGGGGTGCCCCTGTCACATCACATCCACAGCCCCGGTCGGATGAGACGAGTGTGGACTACCCCCGAGTCTACCAGGTGACTCCTGGTTTGACTACATCTGCGATAAAACACCCCCCTTTGGGGTGAGCACCGTGAATGAAGACGGTCAACACCACTGAGCACTGTTGGCGAACACAGCCAGTTGGTCCGTCCGTTCCTGGATGCCGATCCCTCGATCCCTTCGGGTAAATGTCGCACCCGAACGGGCGAACACGGTTTCAGAACACCACAATGAATATATATATATATACATATTACATAAACTAGCCTGAAATGGCTTTGATCTATTTATGGGATGATTGAATATATATATATACACATACACATAATAGTGATTTGGTGTGGTGGTTGCTAGTGACTTGATGCATCAGACCAAATTTGTATTATCCTGGGGTCTAGAAGTGAATCAGACCATGTTCTTTCATCTGAATGGGGTAAATAACACAATCACCACCCCAACGAGTGCAGGAGTGTGTGTGTTGTCATTGGCCATTTCGCACCTCACAAAACCCAAGAATTCACAACCCCCTGGATTCTTTGTTGTCCAGCTGGCGGCTTTTTTCTTGGTTGGCAGAGATGCTAGTTCACAGCAATCCATAGTGAACCGTTCCGGTCACTGACCGGTCGAATCCCGGAGCGCCGCCGCCGTCTGCTCACCGACACGGGCTCCGTCTCGCCAGGCAGGGATCGCTGCGGCCGAGGCGAGGCTGCGGGGTGGTGACCACGCCCCAAACTCCGGGGGTCGAGCTTCATTGAAGCTTGGAAGCATCTCCAACCTGGGCGCAAGAAAGGAGACTACTTGGAATCTAAAGATGCTCGGTGAAAACCAGTCCACCTTTTTCAGCCCGGATGGCACTACCAAAGATTGAGGTAAGAAGCAGGATACACGAAGCACTTCTCAGTGCAGTCAGAAACAACACACGCAGAAACTTCACACTTTTTTGCTTTCTTTGCTGGGCCTACCGTGCGCAGATAGTTACCGCCAAACTTGGGATGTCACCTCTGATGATTCAGCTCTAACCTGCCCTGTGGCGCATTGATTGTGATCTTGGAGATGAGTGGACATACGTGGTGTGCCCACATGCAAAGGAAATCAGTTTGGAACATTCCTAAGCCCAGCTGACATGTGACATGCGTATATTCCTAGTACCCACTTGACATCCTTTTTGATAGGAAAAGGCAATACTTTGGAGAATTGATCCTCCAAAACAGGGGCCACTCAGGTTCTAAGCATATACAGTATATCCCAGACCCTTCTCTCGGTTTCAGAATTACCGTTTTACGGGAAGTCACTAAAGCCTTTAGAGAAGTAGTAGGCTACTGGCTAGATTGACATAAGAAGCTCAACCAAGTTCTAGAGGAGTATGAGTCTGAGTAATTCTATCAAGCCTCAACAACTATCATTGAAGGATTTGACCCCTTGTGCGAGTTGCACATGAGGATCAGAATCTAAAGCCAGGCCCAAGTCCCTTTCTGGTGTGATGCAAACCATTTAGTCTAGCGTCAACTGAGTGGCTCTGGATCAACGTCCGCTCTGTTGATGAACGAGGTCTCCTGGGACCAAGCCCTTTTTGTGGACCATGTTGACATCAGGTCCTCCATACGACCTTTCAAAACGCCTGCATCCGTTTTTGGAAGCCGAAGCTTTCCCCAGAGATCCCCCCTGTTTTTGGGGGAGATCTCCGGTGGTTTGAGGGAACTCAGAGAAGTGATGCTGACCCATAGCCACCTGGTGCCCAAAGCAGAACTGGCGGCCACGAGTTCCCTTCCCTTCGCGGCCACATCCGAGCTTTTGCTCGAGAGCGAAAGGCGGCAGATGAGGTGCGGGAAAGCGGGAAAAGCGAGAAGAAATGAATTCGACAGGTGG